ATGAAAAAGATAATCCACCCAAATCATTTTATTTTGGGGTAGGAGGAGTATAAGAGAGAAACTACATTTTTTTCTTTGTTTTCTAGAATTTCCTTGCTAGAAATGTGTGTGTGTGTGTGTGTGTGTGTGTGTGTGTGTGTGAGTGTAACAAGCAAACAAGAACGTTTTAACTGAAACTTAGGTAGAAAGATGTGAGGAAAGAGAAAGGAAGAGGTAAACATTCGAAAGAGAACACAGGCTTCTCCAGAGTGGAAAAAAAAAAGCGCAAACCAGAATGGTTTCTTTTCATAGCAAGAAAAAAAAATACGCAATCTTCCCTGAAGTGGGAATTAATGCCATGATCAAATTAATACAAATGAAGTCCATTAACATAGTAATAATCCACTGGGTGACTCGAGACTTTTGCAGTTTACAGTGGTTCTAAGTGGTGCTATGATTTGAACCTTATACAAGCAGTAGGGCTGGTAAGGAGAACACGTTCTCATTCTCCCTGGGAGGAAGTTCATGCTGTATGCTGTGGCAGGGGCAGGATCCTAACAAAACCTTTGATTTCTGGATCAAGTGCTTCTTTCCAGGTATGGGCCGTAACCCCTCAAGGTCTCAGGTCAAAACTGTTTTGACAATAACTAAGGGGCTGATTTGATTTCTCCACTGCTCTGACATCTGCCTTGACAACTTTAACTGCTGGCGTCTGAGGGTAAGTTAAGGAATTTATGTAAAGTGTCCCCAAGGCATGTTAAAATATGACTATAATTTGGGATAAAAACATCTGATTGTTTTTTTAGATGCAAGCTGAATTAACTGGATTTGCTTGTTAGATTTCTAGCAGAACACCTGTTTTATTTTTCCCTTGAAAGAATGACTGATGCTCCGTGCGTGGTTCTGAGACGTGGGCACTTAACAGACTTTTTTTTTCCCCTAAAACAAAAATCTGTCACTGCAAGGTAGACAGATGAATGTTTCAGCTGCAAATTATAATACTGGAGAGCTTGCAGAAAAAAATATTAATGTTTGGAAAACTTGGATTTCTCAGGCATACTTCACTGGGTGTGGTTCCCCCTATGCCCCAAAAAGGATAAAACTTGTGTTGCTAACCAAGCCCTTGACAGCTTCCGAATCCTTAAGTCATCCTTTCATATTCATACTGCTACAAATTTTATCATTTTTGGGGAAGTGGGGGTGAGATGGGCCCATTTTGTGATGCTCAGGGATTATTCCTGGCTCTGCACTCACAGGGCTCAGGGTAACATATAAGGTGCTGGGGATCTAATTCTGGTTGGCATCGTGTAAGGCAAGTGCCCTTAGCCACTATACTATTGCTCCAGCCCCATCATACTGTTACAAATTTTAATACCACTTGCCAAGTTTTGGTGTAATGAAGAATAGCAATATTATTTCAAAAGGTTCTTAAAGTAATCCCTTTCTTCCTAATACGTAGGCCTGGTTTGAAGTTATATAGATTTTTTTAGTTTGTTTTTGGGTCAATCCTAGTGGTGTTTGGGGTTCATAGGGGATGCTAGCGATCGAACTCAGGTGGGCCAGGTACAAAGCACACCTTACCTGCTGCACTCTTTTTTCAGCCTCAGGGACTGACTTTTTATTCAGCAGAATAGTGTTCCCTTAATAAGCCCCTATGTACAAATGATTCTTCTACTTGCTTCCTCATTAAGAATATCATCCCTTTCTTTGGTAAGGAATAAATAAATAAATAAAGGCCCTCCCGTTGATCGTCGATTTGCTCGAGCGGGCCCAGTAACGTCTCCATTGGAGACTTTGTTGTTACTGTGTCTGGCATATTGAATACTCTCGGTCGCTTGCCGGGCTCTCCGAGAGGGGCGGAGGAATCGAACTCGGGTCGGCCATGTTGGCCGCGTGTAAGGCAGATGCCCTACCCCTGTGCTATCACTCCAGCCCCAGGGGTAAGGAATACTTGTGCTATCACTCCAGCCCCAGGGGTAAGGAATACTTAATTTTTTTTTTCCTTAAATGAATTTCCTTAAAGTGTTTCCCATCAATTTTTTTTGGCTTTTTTTGGGTCACACCCAATGATGCACTCAGGAATTACTCCTGGTGGTGCTTGGGGGACCATATGGAAAACTGGGAATCGAACCCGGGTTGGCCACGTGCAAGGCAAATACCCTATTCACTGTGCCATCGCTTCAGCTCCACCCAGAAGTTTCTTTTAGAATTTTCTCAGGCTTCACTTATGAGAAACAGACATGGAAGAAAGAGGTCTGCAACCTGGGGTTTGTTTAGGAAAACACAGAGTAGCAGTTCTAGTTCGAAACCAGAGCTGCAGAAAGCAGGATGGTGAAGACAAAGCATTCAGAGCCAGAATGTCCGGGTTTCCAGTCTCCCTTAGGTGACTGACATAATATGCCAGAACATATTCAATCCTTATCTGAACCAAAGGTAAAAACGAAAAGTATGAAGTTGTCAGATGACAATCCAGAGAGGGCACAGTACGGCGGTGAGTAAGTGAAAGATGCCTGAGTGGCCACTCATTGGTGTGGAGGACACATAACACACAGAGAGGGAGGGGTGGACAGGGCGGGCAGGGGTGGAAATGAATTCCAGGAAGTGTAGAAGTGATGACTCTTGACTTAAGTCTCCTGGAAACTAGAGGTTAGCAACATATCCCTATGAAAACGCCTACCTCAGGGAAATCAGAACTTCCTCCCTGAGCAAGTCCTTCACCCGTGATGACCAAAGTGAATTGTCAGAGACTTGTTTCACTTCCTCCCCTCCCACCACCCACCCTTTGAACTGGGCCAGCAGCAGAAAGGCGGGCGGCATCAGAGGGAGATGAAGAGATTTAAATAATCGAAGAAATATCATGTATTTGTCACGGAACCCCCAAGTGCGAGAACACTTAAGAGTTCGATGCTCATTTCTCTTTTTAAATTTAATTTCTAAAAAAATTTTAAGTCAAAGGTACTGCGATTTATGAAGTTATTCATAGTTGAGTTTTAGGCATACAATGGAAGCTATTAACATTGGTTCTGGGGACAGTTTTGGAAAAAGCCTATTTTTCTCAAGCCTTGAAAACTGGATATGCTTATATTCTTTTACATTTATTTATTTATTTTAGATTAGTTGTGACTGTGTAAGACAAACCCAATGGCATAAAGTGACTCAATTAAACTGAAACGAAATTGTCAGGAAGACAGATACAAATACACATGTGTAACTACTGTGAGAAAATAACAAGAAAATTCTGGCTGGCCAAAGATTCAAGTTAACATACTATAGGAAGGAAGTTCTCATGTTTACAAGAGAGCAAATCCACAAGCTAGTCATGAACAAACACTAGTGTGGAGTAGATCTGTGGCAACAAGGTTCTCCTGTAAGCCTAGATGAACTGTGAGTGAATGACCTTGTAAGTTTGAACTGGGAATCCTTAGAGGAGAGGAGAGTATTACAGAGAGATTGGGGTAAGAGAAAAAGCGAGAAATAAGTTCTTCTTTTCCAGGAAGCCTCTGAGGAATTAAGAATACCATTATTAAAAAAGAAAAAAATGAGCAAATAAAAGTAAAACAATATGAACAAAAGAGAAAGTAAAGTAAAAGTAAAGTAAAGGGCTGGAGCGATAGCACACTGGTAGGGCGTTTGCCTTGCACGCAGCCAACATGGCCGACCCGAGTTCGATTCCTCCGCCCCTCTCGGAGAGCCCGGCAAGCTACTGAGAGTATCTCGCCTGCACGGCAGAGCCTGGCAAGCTCCCCGTGACGTATTCGATATGCCAAACACAATAACAACAAATATTCGAACAAAAGAGAAAGAAAAAACTAAAATCAAAACCTAAAAAAATGCTCTGTGGTTCCACTGTATAATTACTGTTAGAGATTTTATGAGGGTTTTTCTTTTGTTTTATTTGGTAAAAAGTGATGTGTCTCAAGTACGCAGTGAAATGTGTCCTTTGGCACTTTGTCACTTTTTGACCTCTCTGCATCCCTCTGTTGGGAAGAGGGGGAAAGAAACTTGATGGCATCAATTCACAAGAAGTGCATCATCAGGTTACACAGAGGAGCCTTTCTCAGGCTGAACACAACGTAGCAGGGTGAGGGGTAGTGGTGGTGATGGGAAAGGTACCAGATGGCCCAGACATCTCTGCCGGGAAAATATCTGCAACCCAGATAGCTCAGTTTCCCAGGCTAAGTGTCACTAGGTCCCATCTCTGCGGGCTCAACTATTGGTTTTATTAATTTTATTAATTTTCATTATTTATTTTTAATGGAATCACAGTGAGATGCACTGTGTTGTTCATGAGGTAAAATTGATCATGATTGGGTTTCAGTTATATAATGTTCAAATACCCATTCCTTTAACAGTGTACATTTCCCACTACCAATGTCCCAGTTTCCCTTCCGCCCATCTTCTCTCTCCATCTTGTCTCTATGGCAGGCGCTTTTCCTCTTTCCCTTCTTTCCTCTATTTCTTTCTCTCCCTCTCCCCACCCTTTTGGGTCCCAAATATTTAGAAACTCTTCCTGTCCTCTGCTTATAAAACCACAGATTTCCTAAAACTCAAAAATTTTTCTTGGTGAAAGATTAATTTGGGGAATCGAGGGAGGTTAATTATTTCGAAATTAGGGGTTAAAATGCATGATCATCGTAAATTGAGTGAAACACAGTTTGAATAGTCCAATTTTATACATCGATAGAAATGATCACCACTCCTTCAACTAATTAAAAAACACAAACATTATCTAAAACAAGAATAGACAAAGAATGTGGAAGAGAATTCAGGCTATCAAGATTCTCCTAAGAGTCAAGTTTTTTTTGACTAGGTACGCATACAGATAGCCTAGGTATAAATTCTATGCATTTTACAATGGCATTTTCTTTAAATTGAGTCCTTAACTATGACTAAATCAACTTTTTGGCTTATTTTCCATGCCAAGGACTGAGAGTTTGGGAGAGGATTATATCACTGTTCTTTTATGACATAATATTTTGGTCAGGTTAAGGTTTTGAAAACTGATACATAAAATGACTTACCAGATTTTTCAGCAGTGTGGACAATTCCTTTGTAAGAGTTGAAAACTTGACAAAAGCAGTGCCAAGATCTGGGTTGTCTCGACTTAAAAAATTACTCCCAAACTTATCAAGAACTTGTGCATAGTTTTCTTCATTTTGCACATGATCTAAAAAGGAACAAAAAGAGTCTTTTATTATTTCAGTTATTTTGAACATTGATTGATGACTAGATATTTCAAAAGGAAAGACAAACAGAAACTAATTAACTATTAATTGATCTTGTCCAGTGGTGGTTAGCAGAACACCAGATATTCTCACCCTATCAGGTTCCTGCCTTTTGTCTCTCATATGCACTTAGTTCACAAATTTCAATTAATCGAAACTCCCAATAGGTTGATGGATTAAATGAACATTATATTTTCAAGAAATAAAGAAATCATGATTGTCAGGAAAATTTTCTTAGCAAATCAATCCTGGCATACCAAGCAAAATTCCAAGTGCTTTAATTTCTCTCTGCAAACGATCATAATTCTTTTTTGGCCTATGCCCCAAATCTGAGAAGTAACATCTGTAAATTTTTCCCCCCTTCATATAACCTTCTGGTGCAACAAGCGCACAGGTATAGATTAAACGGATCCAAACTTGAAACTTGGCTCAAGCATCTAAGCTAGCTTATTAATATGTTAAACTTCCATTTCTACTATTCTAGTTGACACATAAGAGGTATTACTAAAAGGTTTGTGAATAAATGTGCTCTTCTCTGAGCTGAGATGGTCTGATCTAGAAAATGACAGTAATATCTACCACACAAAACTGTGAACATGAGCTCCTCATACAGAGTAACAAGATTTTCTCAGTGGAGCAAATATTCTATAAATAATAACTGGGTCTCACATCCATGAAACACTGTTTACTTGAATTGCAGCACGTAACACTCTTGGCGGTCTTCTTAGCTAATAACAGTTTCTCTCCGTTTTCCTGGCTAGAACTTTATTTCCCAGACCTCATCATGTTGGAAATTGTTGATCTCACACTCTGACCTTTACTCCCTAATGATTTCAACTAGTTTTCTATCTTTAACTTCTATCAGCTGACAATTCCCAAACTGTCATTAGCAGCCCTGAAACCACCCCAAAATATAGTCTTAAGTATATCAACTCCCTACTCAGTATCTCCACACATGGATGTTCAATAACCATGAGCTACCTTACCTGCTAAAAACACAAACCCTGATGTTCAACCTCCAAGCCCACTTTCCCCTGCAGTATCCAGACTCAGTTAAAAGATAAAAGACAAGCATCTTTTTATAATTGGTCAGGCTGGAATCAATCAAGCCACCCTTGTTTTTTTTTTTTTTTCCCTTACACCCAATACGCAATCCATGAGCAAATTCTGTTACCTCCATCTTTACAACATATCCTGTATCTAACTGTATCTAACAACTTCTTGCCATCTCCATTGCTATCAACTGTATGCAACATTACCTCTTGCGTGATGACTGCAAAGACTTCCTACAATAGTCTCTGTTGCAGTTCTTGCTCCTCTACAGTCTATTATCAACAAAGTACTCAGGGTAACCCTGTTAAATTGTGCACCAGAACTTGTGACTCATTATGAATATGAAGGTTCCCAACCCTGGCAGACTTGCGGAAAGGAGCACTACACACCCCCACATCCCTGAAGAGGAAAAGCATAGAACGAGAATTGCACAGAGGAAGAAAATAGAAAAGGAGGACTCTGGTACCATTTTCACATAGAAGTATTTTAGAGGTCTCTGGTCAACTCTTTACCTCTCTCTATCTCTGCAATGAAATATAAGGAATAATGATTTGTAAGGTGGTAGTAAATAGATGCGAACCACTTTCTAAAGAAACAAATGAAGGAGTACCAAGCTCACCTTTAAAGGCTTAATCCCTACAACCTCTTCTTTCTCAGGCATCCCTTTAGTTGCAACAATCCTCCCTTGCTCGTGATTCTTTTACCCTTCTGCAGTATTTTCCAACACATCCTATCATTACAGATCTCCTGGAGTCATCAGACCAACAGAGACAGGGATTACCTCTGCATGACCTTGCATCCTCTCCCAATAAATGCTACTGTTTTTTCCAACAAGTAGGGTGTTATAAAACGGAGGCTCAGTAAATTATTTGTTAACTCAGATTTCCGTTTCAGGAATAAAAACATTCCCTCTTAAATCTTGTAGGCTGTTAAAGAATTGCAACAAATCTTAAAATATCTGACTCTCAAGCACACCCTTAAGTAACTGCAATGATACTAAAACAACAGGACATACGCCTGGACTGGGAAACGTCCCAGGAAGGAACTAAAAAAAAAAAAAACCAAGAAAAACAAGTGTCACTGCAGTCCACTGAAAGAAGATGAGGTTTAGAACCTCTGGACCAGCATTACATTAAAAATTTATGATGGGGCTGGAGCGATAGCACAGCGGGAAGGGCTTTACATGCGGCTGACCCGGGTTCGATTCCCAGCATCCCACATGGTTCCCTGAGCACAACCAGGAGTAATTCCTAAGTGCATGAGCCAGGAGTAATGCCTGTGCATCGCCAGATGTGACCCAAAAAACAAAAAGAAAAAAAAATATGATCCCTACAGTGGATGTCAGCATTTCAGGTTGAGGCATCAAAAAAAAAAAAGATAAAACTCAGTTCTGGTGACTGCCCAAGTTCACTCAGAGAAACAGCACAGAAAAACACAAAAGACCAAACCTCCTCAACTAGACAGGATGCACATGTTTGATCTCTCATGCTCTGGAGCTGTGCCTGTATCATCTGTCTGAGCCAGAGTCTCATCTCATCCCTGAGAATCCACCTCCCTGACATCCTTTTTGCTGTGAGTAGCCAGGAAAATAAGAAATTCAGTTAATGGTTTATTTCAGCCACATTTCAGGGAAGGGTCTCAGTGGTAAACATAAATACACAGGTCTTTTGTTTATTTCCTTAAATTACAAAATATTTCAAACCAAGTGTATCAAAACCCTCTTATAAACAGAATACCTATGTGCCCTACTTCTAAGAAATAAAATATTACAGAATCCTTTTTCTCTCCCATATTCTAATCCCTCTACTCAAATCTCTTTCTGCTCTCCATAGGTTTATCTAAATTTGGAATGTTTCAGAGAAGAGACTCATCCAAAACTCAGATGAACGAAACTAAGGCAGAGATGGGTCACAGAGGGAATAATGGAATTGGATGAGAAACTTCTTGACTCAACTGCTTTTTATTTTTATTTATTCATTTATTAACTCTTTTATTAATGAATCACCGTGAGGTACAGTTACAGACTTATGAACTTTCGTGCTTATGTTTCAGTCATACAATGATTGAGCACCCATCCCTCCACCAGTGCCCATTAACCGCAGCGAATATTCCCAGTATCCACCCCCTCCCCCCACCTCTGCGGCAGGTGCATTTCCTTTTACTCTCTCTCTCCTTTGGGGTGTTGTGGCCATCAGGTAATAAGTGGCTATCATGTTCAGTCTATAGTTTATATTTTCAGCACACATTTCCCATCCTGAGTGGGCCCTCAAAGCATCCTTTACTTGATGGTCCCTTCCCTATCTGAGCTGCCTTTTCCCCCAGCATGTGAGGCAGGCTTCCAAACTATGGAGCAATCCTCCTGATCCTTATCTCTACTATACTTGGGTGTTAGTCTCCTGTTCTGTTACTTTATATTTCACAAGTGAGTGCACCAACTGCTTTTTAATGTATCTTATTCAACCCTCATTAGAATTCTGCCATGGAAATAAAATGTGAAGCGAGGGAGGTAGGAGGTAGAGTGGCTATGTAAATATAGGCTAAATTATGGATCCAGTACACTTCACAAATTTTAGAACTAAATGATGATACAGTCTCAGGTTATAATTATGTCTCTGCTTATACATACATATGAAATTTCTCTTTGTTAGAAACATTTTAATAGTCAACGGGTAAAAGAGATAGTACAATGTTTAAGGTGCCTGCCTTGCATGTGGTGGATCCTAGTTTAATCCCCAGCACCATATAGCCTGAAGGATCCCTGAGCACAGAACCAGGATTAAGACCTGTGCATTGTGCTAGCACCTAGCCCAATTCCACACCCCCAGACAAAGAACAGCTTGTGAACAAAGAAAGACTGTAATCTGTTTTTGTTGTCACTTTCAAACTTCCCAGAGGGAAATTCAACACTTAGCAATACCAGGTCAATGTGTACTGTGGTTGAGCAAGATACTTAGTCCACCCCCCCTGCTCCAAAATTCCATTTAATCTGTTGTCCCTGAGCAGAGGGAGCCGAGTGGGTATCAAATATTAAACAGAAAAGAACAGATACTACACTTGATCTTAGCCAAAAGGCTGAGAAGTAATGCTTCTAATCCTTTTGAGAGTATAAATGACGGGGATGTAAGGTGAAGGTACTTAGAATAGTGCCTGGCATGTGACACATCCTTAAAAAAGTATCTCTAGGTCTGTGACTAGTTATAATACAGAAAGATGTATTTAATATCAAATAGCTCTGGAACATATGTCTCAAATTTTCAGTTTTTTTTTAACATACTGCACCAAAAAAAAAAAATCTAACACTGGCAATTCAATTTAGAAAGATTATATAATCACACACATCCTCTGTATAAAATTCAGGGTTTACTAATCAGGTTCTCAATAGGCACAGAGAGGGTGAGGAGGAGATGAGATTCTGGTGGACGAGAGCAAACAGCACAGCAGGGAGGAGCACATTACAGGGTATAGGGAGCAATTTCAATGGAACGCAAACTCAAGGGTTAGAGGAAGGGGAAATCGGGACATGATGTGGGGAGCAATTTCAGGGGAATTCCACTTAATGAAGAACTGAAGGGATGGAAAATGGCCAGATGAAGACATTTTAGGAAGCAGAATAAAGCTGTTTCCAGATTTTTACTAAATTCTAGCGCTAGATGTCATCGGGATTTAGTTACATGACAATAACGATGATATCTGTATTTTCTTCCTTGGCTTTTTAAGATACCCATTTAGTGACTAATGCAAAACATGGGGCTGGAAAGTTAGTACAGGGGTTAAGTCACTTGCCTAGGTTCAAATATTGGATACCATATATGGTCCAACAGTAACACCAGGAATGATCCCTTAGCACCACATGTGTGGCTCAAAATCAGAAATGAGAATAACAAAGAAAGCTCCAGCTACGTAACAGCATACTGCAAAGGCACCATAAAGTATCCAAGAGTATAGAAGCTAGGGTCCACTTGAGTGGGCAGACATAGAGATGAACAAGGATGCTACAGAGATCATGGAGAGCCCTTGGTCCCTCTAAAGGCCACCATCTTCAGTTTAGAACCTGGAAGTTTGGGGTTTTAAAATCACTATCCTCCATTCCTGTTTGTTCATCATCTGATCGGGGTTTAGATCTTTTTGCCACACCTACCCTGTGCCCCTAAAAACAACCTGTTGATTTCCCAGTTAACATGTTATTGGGGCATTAGGGCTGGATTTAGAGTCCAAATATATATATATATATATATATATATATATATATATTTTTTTTTTTTTTTTCACTCTTTAGGCCGGCTGGAGAGGTAGCACAACAGGTGGGGCGTTTGCACACGCGGCCGACCCGAGTTTGATTCCTCCATCCCTCTCGGAGAGCCCAACAAGCTACCAAGAGTATCCCACCTGCACAGCAGAGTCTGGCAAGCTCCCCGTGGAGTATTCGATATGCCAAAAACAATAACAACAAGTCTCACAATAAAGACATTACTCATGCCCGCTCGAGCAAATTGATGAACAATGAGATGACAGTGCTACTCTTTTAGGTATAAATATTTGATTATGAGAAAGCTACTTCGCTTTCTTTAGCCTCAATTTCATGTTACAATTACATCTGTAACAACTGCCTGCCATCCAGAGTACAGACCCACTATGACATCCTGGGAGGCAGAAAGCCCCAGACATTTTGAATTCCTCTAATTTTTCAAGGTCATTTTGAATTTGAATATGTTCTAACAAAGTTCTAGCCAAGACTCCTCAAGAATCTTCCTCAGTCCTCAGGGACTGGAAACTCAGCATACAGACTCCCATTTTCGCAGTTCTGAGAAACCCACTAACAAACAGAGCATCTCAAAAGATGCCTGTAGAGTCCCAGAGAGCTATTACTCAACTCTTAAGGGGCACTCAACGAACATCAGTCCATTATCGCACGAGCAGAAATAGTCTTTCTTCTGGTTTCATCACCAAGGCTTCCTAACTGCCAGGTAAAATGCACATCATAATTTGGTTTGTTGAAGACTCTCCAGGGAATTTTAATGTTTTGAAATCTGGTCCTTAAGAAAAGCCTGAAGTTCCTTCAATTCCTCCTTTTCCTACTTCAGCTTCCACACATGCCTACCCATCATTCAGTGGGGTTAAGTCTTATTACAAATAGGTGCTATTAAAGAATGAGGCCCGCATTTCACTATCAATTTATAAACTTACTTCAAGCGCCCACACTGGAATACAAGGACTATTTACTCTTGTTCTGGAACTTGAGATGTTTGGCTAAACCCTTTAGAGCAGTGTTCTTCAGACAACTTTATATTACCTGTTCATGTGTACACTAAATACAAGGCAGGGCATATATTTCCCATCAACACTAATTCAATTATTTATCTATTATTGTGCTATGTATATTATATATTATGTACTAACATGTCATTGTTGTTAAATTAATCACACATTAATCAATTTCAGGAGATCCAAAACTACCCTAAAACTGATGTGATATTTCTGCCTTGCAAGTTTCCTTTTAAAAAAAAATTTAGGAGAAAGTATATTATTGATAAACTATAAGCTGAGCTTTTTAGACCAGAATGCTCAAAATGACAGTAGAATCTACAGCTTTTTTTCCATCCCTATGCAGAACCAAGGGGTTTTGAATGATGAGATTGGTGTAAGCAATACAGGAGACCTAAAAGGCAGTCAGTTCATTCCAGTGTCAACTTCTGGGGAAAGAAATCACCATTCCTTTGACTCTTAGGGTATGTCTAGTGCTACTTATCGTCTGTTTCATAGATAACAAAACTCCAGTCGTGAGAAATGAAGGAGCTTGCTAGGAAACACTAGCTCAGCACAAGCAGATGTCAGATCCCAGTTCTCCTGCTCTTTAAATAGAATTCTCTGTGCCTCATTGTGCAGACAACATAGTTCCTAAACACAGCAGCAGTACAAGTCTCTCTAGTTTAGAACTCTTAGAAAGATATCACACCTTGTGTGTTGTCAAATAAGAGAACAAGGGTCATAGAGTTAAACAGCCCTAAGTGAAAATAACTGTGATTCAGAATATCTAAAATGAAAGGGAAAAATTATATTTTGTTTATTGAGGTACTAGGATTTACAATGCTGTTAATTATACTTTTTTTTGGGGGGGGGGTTCAACCTGGCGATACACAGGGTTACTCGTGGCTCTGCATTTAGGAATTACTCCTAGTGGTGCTTGGGGGGACCATATTGGATGCTGAGAATCAAACCCTGGATTGGCCGTGTCCAACACAAACGCCCTATCCGCTGTGCTATCGCTTCAGTCCCAATTATACTTTTCATGCAAACATCATTTCAACATCACCCCCCCATCACCAGAGAGCCCACTTCCCTCCACCAGTGTCCCAAGGACCCCACCCAGCCACCCCATTGCCATGAAGGCTCAAGACAAAAATCATCTGAGACAAAATCTCCAATTATGACAACTTTGGTCATTAGCTGTTCCCTTACTATATTTCATTATATCCCACATATGAGCGATCATTTAAAAAATTATTGTGGAGGAGATATAACACCTACATACATAGAAATGAATAAAATTAAACTCCTAAATTCCTTACAAAACTGTAAGTCAATGGTAAGTTAGAAATTCTTTTTTAACAACAGTATCATCCTTTCCTAGTACGAATAATTCTTGGGTACATTTTAAAAATTATATGAAATAAATAAACCTACACATATACAATTTAATAAAAGGAGAGGAAAAATAAGTAAATTTGAAGGAAAAATCCAAATAGGCCTATACAAGTATAAAAGAGTGTTCTATTCTTTAAAAGAACATTCACTTTAAGTTAGAATAAACTGTATTATAGATAATGACTAAGTAACTGCATTTATTAGTATATAATAAAATATTTATGGATGTAAAAATCACTTGAAAATGAAATGTCCGTTTATTATTGAAAAAGTATAAAGTCCCTTAGCAAACCAAGAATAAATAGAAGCACCATGAGTGAATGCTACACTCATGAGAAGTCTGACTTATCTTTTAAAGGAACTCCTTTAACACTACTTGAAAAACTTGTCTCAAGGCTATGATCTCCTTAAGCTGCCTGGCAATTAAGCTTTGTACTGTATCTTCAAATCTGAATGATAATCTAGCTGGATAGCGTATATTTGGTTAGGTGTTCATTTCACTGAGTTTTCAACAACTATATCCCACCATTCTCTTCTAGATGCTAAGGTCTCATTTTATAGACCTGTTGTAATCTTATAGGATTGCCTTTGTATATAAGTTTCTTTTTTTTGATCTAGTTGCTTTCAATATCGTGTCTGTCTTTGGCTTTTGTCATTCTGATTATAATGTGACTGGACGTTTTTCTACCTGGATCTATTTTCTCTGGGACCCTTCAGGCCTCTTACACTTTGGAGCCTGAATTTCTGAACTCTGCAGAATTCTTATCCAAACTCATCCCATACTTCTCTGGTATGCTGTCTGTTTCTTTTCTGACCTTCTCTCATCACGTGTTTAGATGTTTCCTGCATCTTATCTTGGAGTTCCTTGGTTTTTTCCTCAACTGCTCTTACTCTGCTGCTCAAACTTACTATTAAGGTTTTAAAAACATCACCTACCATTATCCTTCATTTCTGCCACTTATGATTGCAGTTTTCTCATTCCTGCTCTCATACTTTTTGTGTGCTTTCTGACTAACTCTACCATCGTTTAAGTTCATTAAACATCCTCAATATGGTGTTACTAAACTCAAAGATAGGAGCTAGTTGCTATTCTACAAACAGCCCCAAAGCCCAAGAATAGGTAAGTGTATAAAGAAATTGTGGCCAACACACACAATGGAAAAATGCTAGGTTATAAAAAAAGATGAAATCCTGTAGTTAGCTGTAATTTGGGTTGAACTGGGGCGTATTACACTAAACACAGGGAGTCAAGCAGAGGATAAGAACAAATGACCATGTTCATAGTGGAATATAATGAGGCACAGCAAGAAAATAAAATATGGGCAATGATACTGTAAAAATTAGAGTGGGCCCACAGAACTAAGTTCACTAAGTAGAGGTAGGTAGATAAGGGACCTAAAGAGGGTTGTGGAGGGATAATTACATGCTGGTGGTGAATGCGG